TTTTCTGAAACACCCAAAATAGGCAGCACTATAACTTCTACAAATCAGCAAATCAGACCCCTTGTATCAGTCATGCATGGTTCAGTTGCAGAGAAATGAGCTAATTTAAGCAAATATGGAGTTATTGTGCAGTGTGCAGAATCATTAGGATGATTTTGACTATAGAACTGGGTACTGCAGAGCCCATTTGATTAAGAGAAATATTCCCATCACCCGGACAACTGTGATTCCAAAGGCAGGAACCCAGTAGTTACTGGAAAGCCAGGCCACACCTGTGCCCTTAGAACTAGAAAAATGGATGCTTTGCACCTGACTTTCAATGCTATCAAATAGCAGTGCTCTGGCACCTTGGCAAATGATGCTGAAGAAAACCCAACAGCGTCTGCAAACGCCTTGGTTCCCACTTCTGGAACCCACACATTTGATATTCCAGACTCAGTCTGCTTCCTGCCTCCAAAGTAAAGAAAGGCAAACCAGGAGGAGACAGGAGTGTACCATGCCAGCAGGGTGCCATATCCACCTACCCCAGCTACTTACTTCCATGCTAGCGAAATGCTTGGACCTTTTCTTTGACAGCACTCTTAAAAGGTCCAGGATGTGCCCCAAACCTATTAACCTGCTATGAAACTCTCTTCTATAAATTTTTGTTTTGATAATATTACATTTCAATCATTACTTGTGCCTAGAAAACAAATTTCATAAACGTTTCACTTACTCTCTAGATCAACACGACTTTCCATTCGTCTGAAATATGTTTCTATTTTAACTATGCAAGGGGTATCACGTTCACACTGAAATAATCTGAGCCTCACAGTCTTTGCTCATCACCCTTCTTGGCTTCCCACTTGGTAGATGGAGGTTCCTCAATCCTTTGCTCTCACCTCCTACCTACTCTTAAGTGCAGGAGGAAAAATTCTCGCAACTCTGTCCCTCTGTTCCTTAAATTCACACATCTCCTCACCCCCAGGAATGGCCACCATCACTGTTACCACGTTGGGATAAAAGAACAACCACATAGGTACTCAACAACTCTCATGTGTGGAAAAAAAAGTCTCCCCAATTAGTCTAAAATCTTCTCAAGCCATTTCAAATCATTCTTGCTTGCTGAGTCTGAGGGTTCAAAAGACAATTTGTTACAGAAACAGCAACCTGCCTGGCTGGCAAGCTGGTAAGGGTCACACGTGCAAAAATTAACTCAAAGCAGATCGTGGACTTAAATGCACGATACATACTAGTAAATATAAAACTTACAGAAAAAATGAAACATGATTGAGGACCTTGACCTTCGTGAAGAGTTCTTTGACATATCACCAAAACCACAATCCATAAAAAAACAAAAAACTGATCAATGGAGCTCATCCATAAAAGACCCGCTGGAGAGGAAGGAAAGACAAGTCAACCATTCAGAACATGGTCAACACAGGCATCTGGCCGCAGCGAGAAGGAGGTGCTGTTGCTCTTCTCGGTTTCACATGAGTTTTACTTTCAAATCCCTGAGCGCACACAGACGGGTGGGAATGTCTCGCGGCTGCCCTTTCCCCCCGGCTGCCTACGGTCACATTCCGGACAGGCCTTTATAAGACAGCGACGATTAAAAGGCAGTGGAGGGCCCCTTCACCGAGACCCAGACCTCATGTCAGTGGGGCAGTTTTTCATGGAAATTATTTCTAAAACCAAATGCGACTGCAAAGCGGTTTTTGCTTTCTTTTGCAGACTTCCTTTCTCCTCCTCTTCTCCATTTTCACTGAAGAGAGAGGGGAGGAGAAATGGTGAAAATGCCACCGAGAAGAATTTCGGTTGGGCTCGGAGGGTGGAGGGGCAGGGAACCCAGCACCCTGCAGAAGTAGAGGTTTACAGGTGTCGATCCCTGGGACCTGCTCAGGTTGTAAACCAGGGCCGCTGAGCACCGTGCTTTCCTTACTTCCTCTTGGTAAACCTCTAAGAATGACGAGCTTGCCCTCAGCATCAGAAAGGACCTGTGTCCTGCCTGTCCCCAAAGCAGAGCTCACATCCTGCCTACAGGACGCATCTGAGGGAGAATATGAAAACAGACCCTAGCGATGGCTGAGGTCTCTGTCCCTTCTCTCCTCCAGGTCTGCTCACATCCTCTGTGAAATGCACCCCACCTCCCTCGCTCCTCCCATCCCCTAAATACCCTCAAGTAACAGAAAGAAGGAATCAGTCAAGTGGAAAATGATTAAGTAGGCAGGTTTATCTCTGGGCACAGGCTGCTGAAGTGGGGGGAATGAAACTCCCGGGAGCGGGAGTGAATTGAGGATCTGCCTCGTCCGGGCTCTGCCCTCAAGGTGCCCCGGTCTCCCCCTGCGCTGCCTGAGCGACACACTGCGCATGTGCAGAAGAGCAGCCTAGGGCCTGGGCTTGACTCAGCCTCCTCCCGGGCTCTGTGGCTTTGAGGCCAGGGCAATGGGATGCGGTGTCCCGGGGTGACCCAAGGGACAGCCACTGGAGTGAGGAGAGCGAGGCACTCTCCACCAGTGCAAAACTTAAGGAGGCCCCAAAGAGTAATCAAGATCAATTATGACTTAATGTGATATCTTAAAAATCAAAATTCTTGCAAAAATCCATGATGAACAAACTACGAAAATTTTAAATAAAGGCAGAGTCAACAGGGCTTTGGGGGAGATCGTAAAATTCTGTGCATTAAGGTAAAATGACAATGTACAGGTTCGAAAACATACCCAGGTGTCCAAATGGCACCAACGGTGGGCTTCTGGAGGTCCCGGCTCAGTACCGGGTCTGCAGCCTCTGAGACCTGGGGTCATCAAGGGCTGGGAGACACCTGCTGCTCCTGCCCTTCCCAGGGGCCCGTGTCTGAGTGTTAAAGAAAGCCAGGCACATGGGGCTTTCCTGAACATAAAGCTGAACGAGGCCCTGGCAGGGAGACTGTTTAGACTCTCTCTGACTCACTTTCCTGTTTATTTCCCATCCAGGCCCAAATGAATTACCCCACAAGGCCAGGTGCGGCTGGGAGGACATTCCCAAACAGGCCACCAAGAGGGGACCAGGGCAGCGCCCACTCCACTGGCCAGTTCATTTTCTGGAACCACAGTTCTCCTTGCTTGGGCAAACTTCTCATTCCTCTTCTCACTGCCTTCCTTTGTGTCCATCCAGGAGCTGTAAAAATCGCAGACCTCAAGCCCCTCCTAGAGCTGGAGGAATAAACATCTCGGATGCATTTTTAATCAGCTGTGACTCTGCCCCTGCAGGAACTTTACAGCCAGGTGGGCTCAGAGTGCATCTCGGCATTTTGCAGAAGTGCAGGAGGAAACACCAGCCGCCCTCAGCAATTCCTAGGGCGAGGCTGCCCTGGCTCCTGCAGCCCCTCTGCTTCCTGAAGCCAGTATCTACCCACCTGCGCTGCCAATGCGCTTGGCTGCGAGACAAAGGGTCCATTATCCAACAGGCTCAATGTTCCCCAGGTACGGGGAAGGCACGGAGGCATTTATTCTTATCTTCATTTTATTTCGCAAAGCACGGGCTGTCTGTACCGAGAACTGAACCTCACTCATTTCCTGCAGAGCACAAAGGAGAAACTCCGCTCCTCAGCTGGTTCCTGGTGCTCCTGCCTCCAGCTCGAAGGGTTCAAGAGAGCAGGATGCTCCAGAATCCAGCGGGAAAGCCCCGCTTGGTACCAGGGTGGAAGCCTGTGTCATCCTGACACTGCCCTGGCCCACTACGCTCCTTGGGCGTTATCTCACCCCTTCAGGTCCCTCGCTTTCATTTGTAAATGAGGCGGTAGGAAGCCTGGGCTACTGCTTCTGCCATTTAATCAACTATGTAACCCCCAAAATGAAAAAGCAGATTTTCTGTGTGTCTTTTTTTCTCTTATTTGTGAAATGAGGAACCTGGATTATAAGCTAAAATGAAGTATACAAATTTAATGTTAAAATTAATAATGCAAATAATCATAGGGTTTTTTTTGTTGTTGTTGTTTTGTTTTGGTCTTTTTGGACAGCTAGGACAAGGTCTGAATCCCGTCTGCTCTCATCATCTGCAGGTGAGGAACAAATTCAGGGTACTTCCTCATGTCTTCCTTCTCTTTTCTTCTTCATGCAAAGCATTTGGTAGGTTTTACATAGAATTTAGCTGTCTCATGCTAAATTCTAGGGGCCAAACACTGAAGCTTTTTCTAGTTAACCCAGTTCCTGTCCCCTCTTTCCCCTGATCCCCAACTGTCTGCAAACACAGGTACCGAGTGGAAAACTTGAAATGGCAAGTTAAGCATATGAAACACCAGCACAACTGGCAAAGAGGTCTAAGTTCTCATACCTGTACATTTTGTTAAAGGACCAGGAAAAAAACAACAACAAACCAGCAGAGCAAGATAGGAAGTGAAATGTCCAATATGAAAAAGCGACCAATCAGTGGTAAGGCAGAAAGAGAGAACCCTCCTGTTTTTCTTACAAACTCATTGAAGGAAAAGCTTTGCCAAACTTGTGCCAAGCCCCTCCATCCTTTCGTGTGGCAGTGGGATGAACAGCCCTGAGTTTACAGCTGTCACTAACAGTCATGGGCATTTGGGCCACATTGCACCTCTTTTTCCTGAAGCCATTCACACCCTCCTCTGGACTGCCAGACAGTAGCCTGGTGCTGGTGCAAACCCAGCTCCCAGGACTCAGATCTCAGCTCTCCAGGCTTCTGAGACGGGGAAGGAGGTTCCTGAGAAACAACACTCATTCTGTAGTCTGTCCCCCACTCTTCCCTGTATCAGGGACACAGGCAAGTACTGCTAGCGTGTTGGCTCAAGTGGCTAACCAGCCAGGTCTAACTGTTCCCATTCCCAAAGACATCTTAGACTTCTGCTTCCCCAGCAGGCAAATCTTCATGCGCGGTGTTCAATCAGTGAAGTTTCTCGGGATTTGTGTTTTTACAAATCGAGATCAAATTAACGTTTCATTGCAGGAGTATGTGTTCAGAAGTATAAAAACAAGACACAGGCAGTAATAAAGAGACATCAGAAACTGCTTTCTGAGGCTCACCCAGAGATCTTTCTTTCGTCTGGTTGGTCGATCTCACCACCGGGAGGCTCGCTCGAGTTCGGCTGCCTCTGGAGAAAGGACTTGGAGCTTCGCTCTCAGACATGGCTTCCAGAGAGTCACCAGAAGTCTCGGATAAATGCTCCACCGGGTCGCCCACGCTGGGGGGCTGAGGACTGTGAGGCAGTTTGGGGCTTCTTGTCTACAAAAGGCATTTGAAAGAAAGTGGGAGAATAAACCATTATTAGTTATCCTAAAAATATGTCCAATGCTATCAAGGCCTTCAATCTACAAAAAACAACATAGCAAGAGGAAGAAGTCCATCAGAAAGACTGGGTAGGACTAGAGACCCAGAGGGTCAAAGTTCCAGTTGTAAAAGTTACTGAGAAAAACGTATTGCCCTCAGGGTCCCATTAAGATTTTTATCAGTGGACACCCACCTTACAAATTCCATTTTGGACAAGGAGTTGAGGACAAGCCACATTATAGGAAAGAATGACAGCATATCAACTCCTTTTGCCAGTTGTTATCATAACACATGAATTGTGTGCATTTATACACTGCCACATGCCCTATAATAACATTTTGCTCAATGATGGACTGCATACATGACAGCGTAGTGTGTAGGAGACTACACTATCCAGGTCTGTGTAAGTGCACTCTATGATACTCACACAAGGACAAAACTGCCTAACGACACACTTCACAGAACATATCCCTGCCATTAAGAGGGGCATGACTGCATACGTAAATGGATGATGCATTTACCCCAGAGTACACTGAACACGACCAGTCCTTATATCAAGACCATTTCCAAAATCAATAACCTACGATTGTGAGAGGGAGATTTATGTCACAGTTGAATTTTTCTTTTGATACACAAATCCTAGAAATAAGATTATGTCTAGTTTTGGTTATTACCTCAGCAGAAGTATGTATAATAAAATACATACGAAATACATAATTGGTTTTCTTTCTTAGTTATCTATACTATAATGGCAGAAGTTGAATGTGTAAAATGCTTAAAGCTTTTAGTCAATAACATTCCTTGACTATTACTACCGGTTGAGCACTGTGGAAGACGCAGAAAAACAGAAATGTGGCCTGACGTCAGAGTTTCAAAACTAATCGGTGAAATTAGCGAAGGACAACAGATAACTCAAGATAGTATATAATTAAGTGTAAACTGTGAACTGGGTGGAACATACTTTCAACAGACACCTATTGAGCACCCACCATGTTCCAGGAGCTATGCCAGGCCCGGGGACAGAATGATGCACAGAACAGACATGCCTCCACCCTCATGGTGCTCACAGACTAGTCAGGTGACAGGCATTAACACAAATTAAAGGTGCAATGAGAGTGTATAATTCCAACTGCTGGTGGTGTTGGGGTGGGGAATGTATATGGGCAGAGGGTTGGAAAAGCATGTAAACTGTGATCTCAACAAAGAAGGAAGTTGGGGAGAATGGGGGAAACCACGGGGGAGGGATGAAAAGCAGGAAAGCCATTCCAGGTGAAGGGAATGGTACGTGCAAAATGCCTGAGGCAGAAAGAAGTGGCAGCGCTGGAAGCTTGGTGTGGCTGAAGTCCAGCGGAGACCAGAACACACACAGCCTAGAATGTGGGTGAGAATTCTCAATTGGACTCTAAGGTACCAGAACGTCATGTAGGTAGTTTAGGCAGGGAAAGGGGCCGGGGGGCCAGGATAGATACTCTTTTTAGAAGATCACTCTGCTGTTGTGTAGAGGCTGCAGATTATACATGTAGAAAGTCAGAGAAAGGAGGCAGTGAAATGGGATTAGGCTGAATAAATGTGTTACCTCGGCTTTCCCCTCCCGCCGCCTGCCCCTGACTTGCATTACATGACCCCAGGCACCTTCCAGGAGGCAAACTCATCTGTGTTAATCAAGTACACGAATTTTCACGTCAGGAGATGCCAAAGGTACTGATGGGCTGGTGCTGGGATCTAGGCATATATATACTCGGTCAGGGTCCCTGTAGCCATTTTTTTGTTTGTTTGTTACTTTGCATTCCTTCACGTTTTCCTGAGGACGTCAATGCATTTTGAAGTGAGGCACCGAGGCACTTAACTCTCAAGGCAGGACCAGCTCGTGGATGTACGGGCAGAGCGATCACACAGGGCCCCGTCCTTGAAAGGGTTTTGTGATTGGTTTAATGCTCTACTTTGGCTGTCCTGAAGCTCATAAATGTCAAGGCACTGACGATTACATAGCTGCCTCAAAGCTCCAGCGACAGAGCTCTCTCAGGGATGCCCAGATGTGCCCGATACTCAGGAGAACCCTTTTAGGGTCGATGATCCCATCTCTCTTCCTAAAAGTACAAGGACACCCCTCTCGGCAGGAGTGCTATTGCGTTATGTAGATGCCTGCATCTGGCCACACCTCTCAAGACCTTTCCACGGGGGAAACAGGAGTGAGGTCAGCACACAGCGCCCGCACCCCTTAAATGGGGGACGTGGCCAACCTGGATGTTCCATAGAAAACTCTCAGCTCAGATGACATGCCGAGAACAGGGCCAGAAAGGACACCTATTAACAGTCAAATTGTGTCTTTGGGTTAATTTTTCTGTGCAAGCCTCCGAGGTGGTTTATTGCCAGATTTATTTCTTATAAAGTTTGCTTCTGCTCTGGAGATTAAGATCTGGCTGTGGCACTGGAAGAGTATCATTCGATAGGAACAGCCAACCATACATCACTGTGCAGCTCACCAAAATGTGCATAAATTCATACGGTCTTCCATGAAGTATGCTGGGCAATGAACCTGGTTACTATGCTCAGCAGAATATCAAGCTCAGATGTCCTCATCTCTGACTTAAAAAAAAAAGATATTCAGTTTAGCAAAACAGCTAAGGAATAATATGACTTGATGCAGCGTGGCTTCAGGTACAACCTCTGCCATTTGGTCACCCTCGCAGCCTATGGGAGACATTCACGAGTTGTCATTTTCCATGGCAAGAGGCAATAATCTTTGAAGAACATCAGAATTAAATTTCATTTCTTGTTCAGGGTCCTCATGGTGGTAGTATGTATAGAAATAAAGATGTAAGGGCTAAATCTTTATTTTTAACTTCCTGTACACAGCCACTCAGTTTCAAATATAAACTCCTTCTCTCGTTCTATGTCATTCACTTTCTCACTGCGAACTATCTTGCATATTAGCAATCTCCTCACACGGTACCTCCCCTCTGATGCCAGCTCACTGCGGAGACATCACTTAGTGCAGATAAAGGAGAACGGAAATTGCTGACATCAATGTCAAATACCCTGTGATTTTTGAGAAGTCAAAAAGCATTTGGAACAGGGACGCACTACTCAGCACAGGGTTAGGCTTCAAGGGTTAGAAGTGTTGCACATGGCTCTTGAGCTCATAATGCATTTAAGGGATAGTTTGGGGCCAAGGACAATATACACGTAACAGCTGGACAAGAAGAACTAAGAGGTGTGCCACTGTAAGTGCAGAAGGGGTTTGGGGGAAAAACTGCTGACATGAAAGGGTAGGTTGGGTGAGGAGGAAGACCGTGGGGGAGGAAGTGCTAAGGGGTGCTCAGAGCAAGGTCACCGGCTTGCCTTCTCACACCTTCACGCACTCAAGGGGCCCACAAGAGGAGAAGGTGGGGAGGCTAAGCTTTCCCCGCCAGGCACACTCTGAGGAATGGGAGCCGGTACCTTCCTCTGCTCTCTCAACTAAGCTAACAGGTACACATCATCCAACAGCAGTTGAGTCCCAAGATGTCTTTTCCACAGGCAACCTCGTGGCGGGATTATGCCTCCCACAGTCTCTCCAGTAATACTGAATACATAAAAAAGTTCCACTTTTGTTGTTGACAGCCATTTTTTAAAGGGTTCCCGCCCCTAAACCATGCTCCCCTCTCTAAGGACTACTTCCCTGCCCACATGAACAAGCCCCTAAAGCCCAATGATTCATACATAGAGTAAACATACTGCAGCTTCCCCACACAATTCTGCTTTGCACCTGTTGCTCTACTGTACTTATTAGTAGTAACCCCCTTTCACTCTCAAACATATGATGGTTGGAACAACAAAGTGTATGCACACCACTCCCAGCCCCCTCTCAGCTTCCAGGACCAAGTCATGGTCACCTGATCTTGCCTAAACTAATCATTTTCTCTCCCCCGGAATGCAGGCCTGGGACAGAGAAGCTATTAGTCAGTGTCTATTAAAAACTTGAAGTGTGAGATCCTATGAAGCTGCGGCTGAAATGGGCAGGGAACATGAAACAGAAAAGAAAAATATAAGGAAAGGATGAAGCAGATCTGTATAGGCAGATGGAAAGGAGACGCCCTTGGCCCCAGTTGAAAAGCCTGAAAGATTTAAAAAAAGGAGCTATCTGGGCCCCCCAGGAGTTGCAGTTCCTGACTCCAGTACACAGGGAGGTTCTTCCATTTGTTGTGCTTAAGCTAGTTTTTAAAAAGGACAATGTATGTTTTTTTAAATTTATTTTTATTGTATTACAAATGCCCCCCATTTCCTCCCCTGCACCTGGCTCCCCCCCCCCCCCCCCCCCGCCCGCCCCAAGGCCTTGGCTGCAGTTTTGTTTGTGTCCATGGGTTATGCATATATGCATACAAGTTCTTCAGTTAACCTCTTCCTGCCACCCTCTTCCCTCTGAGATCTGTCAGTCTGTTCCATGCTTCTATGTCTCTGGATCTATTTTGTTCATCAGTTTATTTTGTTCATTAGATTCCACATATAAGTGAGATTGTGTGATATTTATCTTTCTCTGACTGGCTTAGTTTGCTTAGCATAATGCTCTCCAGTTCCATCCATGCCGTCTCGAAGGGTAAGAGATCTTTTTTTTTTCTACAGCTGCATAGTATTCCATAGTGTAAATGTACCACAGCTTTTTTTTATCTACTCATCTACTGATGGGCACTTGGTCTATTTCCAGATCTTAGCTATTGTAAATAATACTGCTGTGAACATAGGGGTGAGTATATTCTTTCTGATTGGTGTTTTGGGATTCTTAGGATATATTCTCAGAAGTGGAATCGCTGGGTCAAATGGCAATTCCCTTTGTAAGTTTTTGAGGAAACTTCATACTGTTTTCAATAGTAGCTGCACCAGGCTGCATTTCCACCAGCAATGTACTAGGGTTCCCTTTCCTCCACATCTTCTCCAGCATTTGTTGTTTGTTGATTTATTGGTGATAGCCATTCTGA